GCGCGGCTACCTTTCTGGCGCTTGAGTGATGGCGGCTGGGGCAGGAGCAGGCGTGGCTCTACTTCCCGCAGTGGATCGGTGGATCGGGGCTCAGCCTACCTCCCCGCGCTTGAGTGATGGCGGCTGGGGCAGGAGCAGGCGTGGCTCTACTTCCAACAGTGGATCGGTGGATCGGGGCTCAGCCTACCTCCCTGCGCTTGAGTGATGGCGGCTGGGGCTGGAGAAGGCATGGCTCTCTGGTGCCTGTAATTTCTTATTTCCATCTTGTTCTCATAGCTTTGCGTCTATCCTGATTATTTGATCATATCGTATTCCAGTGCAATTAGAAAATTAGATTTCAGTGCTGCTTGGGTATAAAATATACTCTTCATTTCTATAAATTTGAAACTGTAACAGGACATTGTCATATTGAATGCTCTGCTGTTTTACCTTTCAAAATTACTGATAATACTACATGGTCAGATTTACTTCTGAGTTAATCTTGTAAAGAATTGACATCTGTTGTATTCTGGATCCCTCTAATTTAGGAGAACATTTTATAAATTAAACACTTTTCAGGTAAAGAGATTTTATTTGGCATTAACTTCACAGTGAGTTGCTTCTTACAGAAAGCATTACATTAGACAAATGGGTTTTTGACTTGTATTTCTTAATATGTCAAAGTTACAAAGGCTTTCATCTTCTTGGTTAACGTTTATGTTTTATCAAATCAATACATGTGCGTAATTTGGAAACTCAAATAATATAAGGCTTATGAGCTCCTCCCTAAAAGCCACCCATGGCATAGTCCTGGTACCCACTGTTTGTGTTGCAGAAGCAACTACTACTACTCCCTCTGGCTGTTTCTTCTGCTTATATTGCTCTATCTTCCCTTTTAATTTAGACATTAACTATTCCTGCTATGGAAGATGAGAATTTGCTTTTATACCAACAGTGCTATGTAGTTCTCTTCCTCTGCTTACTAATGCAGCATGATTTCTGGCGAAGTCTACATTCTGTGTTTACATTATAATGACTATCAAAACTATTTTTTGCAACTTGACTCATTCCACACAAGATCTACAACAGTACTCCCCAGACTGTTAAAATACTTTCTTGTGCTTCATTTACTTCACTTTGGAGATCCCCTGGACCTTTCCACACACCTTCTTCTGTTCTGGAGTAGTTATTTTCTTCATGTGTTCTACATTTACCATTCTAGAAATCTTGCTGTACTAGAAGCCCTTTTCCTGGATTTCATGTCATCTTTCTAGACTTACTCTTTATTCTAGGCACTCATTACTCTCAGGAACTACCCCCCCATTACTGGGAATTGAGTTCAGGGGTCTTTGCAGTGAAGTACATCCGCAGTCCCCACACACACGCTTTTTTTTTTTTTTTTCTTTTTCTTGAGTCAGAATCTTGCTGAGTCATTAAGTTACTTTTTTTTTTTTTTTTTTCTTTTTCTTGAGTCAGAATCTTGCTGAGTCATTAAGTTGGCCAGGCTGGGCTTGAACTTGCAGTCCTCCTTATTCGGCCTCACACAGTGCTGGGATTAAAGGGCATGCACCACCACACTCAGCTCAGAGGCTTCTTGAGAAAGGAAATCTGCAGCTCTTTGAGATCATATGGCAGTGTTGGCAGAGAATTTTGAAGACATTTTTATTAGTGTCTTGCTTCTACTACAGCTCTTTGTATGCATATGGTTAAGTTAATTGATATTTTTCGTCTCTCAGTCCTTCATTATGTGGAGCATTTTTCTTTCTCAGTGTTCTGAAATTTCGTAGGAGAGGACTTTTTTGACCCCCCCGCCCTTTATTGTTCTGAATACTTAGTGGCACTCAGTGCGTTCTGGAAATTTTCTTGAAGTGGTTCTTTGATAATTTTCCTTATGTGTGGATTTTCTGATATTTGGGTACTAGACCTCCTAGGTTGGTCTACTAATTTTCTGGTCTTTTTGTCTTTTTTCTATTTTATTATCTCTTGGTCTCTCTTTTCTACAATAGTTCCTCATTTATGTCTTCTAATCCTTAAAGTGAATTTGTGTGTACTCACATAATTTTTAAGAGATCTTTATTTTTAAAATGTTTTTTGTTGTTGCATTTGGTTCTTGTTTTATTGATGAAATACCCATATTGAATATATATTTCTGTATCCACATTAAATATTGAATATATATTTAACTCCTGAATCGATTTATTTATTTATTTGTTCAGATTTCAGCTAACAGTACTCGGCCTGCTTGCTGGTACACCAAGCTGGGGTTTTTTCCTGACCCTAGGCCTTTCCCTCTGCCCCTGTCATCACTGTTCAGTGATGGAGGAAATGTTGGTTGTGCTGATGTCATTGTTCAAAGAATATACCCTATACAGGTACCATATATTCATGAATTAGTGTGTATTTTTTTCTTTTGAGGCAAATATCTTGAATGTTCCCTCCCTACTATTTTTTTAATGTAACACATTTTATAGTGGATGGAAAAGACATCATCTGGGTTATACATATTTCGCAATGAAAGAGAAGAAGAAAAGGAAGCAGCAAAACATACAGAGGCCCAACAAAAGAAACTGGAAGTCTTATTCACTAAAATTCAAGCACAGTTTGAAGAGCATGAAGGTAAAGTGAGCTGTCTATTCAAATTAATTATTTTTCATAGGAGAACCAAGTTTTAGAGTCTTCTAAAATTGTCTTGGAGTAATTCTTTTTGAAATTCTGCATTTGGATCTTGATTTTTTTTTTTTTAATTTTTATTATCCAGATACACAGATGCCCTACATTATCACTTTCTTTTTAAAAACACTGAGCAATGGGGCTGGGAATTTAGCTCAGTGGTTCTGCTGCCTGCCTCGCAAGCACAAGGTCCCAAGTTTGATTTCTGGTACCAAAAAACAAAAACCACTGAGCATTTAAATAATTTATAATTGGCTTGAGAAATAAAATATGACATGCCCTTAGTATTTTTCAGGACCTTTAAGTTCATTTCCTGTAAACTTCAGCAGTAAGATATCTATGGAATCCTTTTATTAGTATTACATAAAAGAAGAGCAGGAAGAGGAAAACTATCAGCTTATTTTGCCCTAAACTGTCTGGCACTCTTCTTCCTTAATATCCTTATTTGCATTACACAACTTTACATTTGTGAAGTTATTAGTTTTCTTATGTTATACCTGGAACTAGAGCTTATTGTCCCTGTGGCATCAATGTTAATAAAAATTAGACTGCCTTTATGTTTAAATGATGTAAACTTACTTTTTTAAACCTACCTTTATTATTGTTGAAGATTTTATGTTTTCATGGATTTTGCCATGATTTTCTGTATTATTTAACTTCATATTCTGTACAAACCTTAAGAGAGATTAGACTCCCAGTATTTTGTTTACTTAAAATTACAACCAGCTCAGCCTGACATGGTGTATCATCCCTGTAATATTAGGATTCTGGGAAGCTGAGGCAGGAGGTTGACAAGTTCAAACCTGGACTGAACAACTTAGCAAGACCCTGTCTTAAAAAGGAATAGATAGGCCCAGTAATAAAACTCAGTGGCTTCACACCTGCTTGGCAAGTGCAGAGTCCTGAGTTCGATACCCAGTACCAAAAAAAAAAGAAATAGGATTGTAGCCAAGTATGATGGCCCTGAGTTCAATCCTCAGTACCACACACACACACACACACACACACACAAAACACTGGTTCATGCTGTTTTCATAAATAAATGAATCAATAAATCATTTATTTAATTTACAAGTTACTCTGAGTCAAATATGACATTTAAAGAAAAAAACCCATGACTATACTGGTTTGCACGTTTTCAAGGAAACGTAGATACATTTTTAAAAACTGGATCTCCCTTTTTAGGTGATATTTGCTTGATTCTGTAGTTTTTGTTAAATTTTTGGTTTGGATAATTAATAATGCTCTTTTCCCCCCTAGAAAACACGACAAAATGGTGTGTACCATCACACGCAGCATCAAGAGAGGAGGTCTGTGCTCTCCAGGATGGTGCGGAGCTTTACGAAGCAGTGAGGAATGCACCAGACCCAGATTACCTTGAGGTGAGAGAGAAAGAGAAGCAGATGGCAAGCTCTGATCCTCTTCCTGAAAGATGGGAATGCTGTGTCTCCCAAAGCGGATGCGTACGCTTCTAGTCTTCAGTGATGTGCCAGACCTGTGTGGTGTGTTTTCATTCTGTATTGGGAAGAAGAAGGGAAGTTTGAAGAACCTTATATATTAAATAAATAAGCTTTAAAATGTAGGGAAAACATTGATTTTAAGGTAAAGCAACTGTTTTCAAGCAGTGTCTAGATTTCCATGTCCTCAGCTCTTTTTCAAGTCCTGCATAGTTTATTTCATAAATCTGTACCTCTAGGATACTAGGAAAGGTCAGTTTTGGGAACACTAAACTGTGCTAGAAATGTTGTAGGCTTTACAATTATGGCTTTACTAAGCAAACTGGGAATAAAATAGCTATGTATAGTTTGTTTAAAATCAAATTATGTAGTGTATATAAATATAAATAGTATTAATCACTATTACTAAAGCATTTCATTAAGGTAACTTTTTAATTAAATTTTTTACTCTTAAATGTCTAAAATAATGCAGATTTCATAATTACTTTATTAGGAGGGGGAAATATTTTAGGTAAACTACTGGTTGTTTATTTTATTATTTGTTTGTTTTATTCATTCATTCATTGATTCATTTGTACCAGGGATCGAACTTGGGTCCTTGTGCTTGCAAGGCAGGCAGTGGAACCCCTGAGCTAAATCCCTGGCCCTACTGATTGTTTATTGATTTAACTTTTCATTTATTTGACTTAATCTTGTGAATATAGTTTTAATTTTCTTAAATAGTGGGACTAACAAAATAATATTCTGTCATAATGCGAGCAGTACTGTTCTGAACGTTCTGAACAGAATTCCCTAATGTTCTCAGATGTTACAATTTGGGTTCTTGAGAGAAATGAGTCTGGTTTTAAAGCTGGTGAGTATTGCTGCAAGTCTCTAAATCAAAGCTGTATTTGTTGGTTTGTGGATTCTATGTGTCATCATAAAGATAATTTTACTCCACTCACAAAATTTTACAAAATATTAGTCTGGTCCTCTTGTAGAGTTTACTGATTCTATAAGGGTGCAGAAAGAGATGCATGTCTTAAGTTCACCCACTCTGTAGCTGGACAAGTGACTTATCTCTTAAGGCCTCATTCCTACCTTCTATCTGATAAAAACCTAAAAGTAGGTTATCTCTAAAGCTTTAAGGGTATGATTATTATTTGACAGTTGAATTAAATAATATTATCACTAGAAGGGAAAATAGCCATCAATTTCTAAAACACTGCTCAGCACGGTAGCACACACCTTTTTTTTTTTTTTCTTTTTTCAGCTTTAATTGAGTTTATTGGTACATTTTAGGGATACAGTATAGTTACATTCATTATTGGGAATTTGTACCCCTACATGACAGGTCTTAGTTCTCATTTTTGCCCCTTGTCCCTGCCCTCCCTTTACCACCTCCTCCCCTCCCCATCTACAAACACTTTATTTCCATCTTTTCATTATCTCACATTTTTTTCTTTTCCCTTACTACCCTTCCCTTACCTATCTCACCTTCCCTACACCTTTAGCTCCTTTCTTCCCATTTCTAAATGTCAGTAATCTTATTAGGATCTTCTGTATTATTGCAGATTATTCACACCAGAGAAACTATTCGGTATTTTCACATGTGTGCCTTATTTATTTCACTTAGGAGTATATCTTCAATATGTATCCATTTTCCTATGAATGAATCAATATTTTCTCATTCTTTATGGCTGAATAATATTCAATTTTATAGAAAAACCACATCTTTTTATCCAGTTTCCAACAGATGGGCAAATGGTCTGTTTCCAAGTTTTAGCTATTACAAACTGTGCCGCTATAAACATGGGTGCACATACTTCTCTGTGATATGATTCTTTTAGTTCTTTTGGAAAGATACCCAGCAGAGGGATGGCTCGGTCAAATGGAACCTCCAGTCCAAGCTCTGTGAGGTATCTCCATATTGATTTCCATAGTGGTTGCACCATTCTGCACTCCCACCAACAATGGAGAAGGGTTCCTTTCTCCCCACAACCCCGCCAACATTTGTTATTGTGTGATTTCTTGATAGCAGCCATTCTTTGTGGGGTGAGGTGGAATCTCAGTGTTGTTTTCATGTGCATCTCTCAAATGATCAGTGATGTGGAACATTTTTTCATATATTTACTTGCTGCTTTTACTTCTTTGAGAAATGTCTGTTCATTTCAGATGCTCATTTTTGAATCGGGTCTTTATATTTGGGGGGACTGATTCTTTTGAGTTCTTTAGATATTCTTGATAATAGTCCTTTGTCTGAGGAGCAGCTGGTAAAAATTTTTTCCCACATTGTAGATTGTCTCTTAGTTCTGCTGATGGTTTCTTTTGAATTACAGAAGCTTTTTAATAAGATGAGATCCCAGTTGTTGATTCTGTCTGCTAGTTTCTGTGCTACTGAGGATTTGTTCATAAAGTCTTTTCCTATGCCAATGTCTTCTAGAGTTCTGCCTAACTTACCTTCCAGCAAGTTTAATGTTTCTGTTTTAATATTTAGATCTTTAATCCATTTGGATTTTAATTTAGTGCATGGTGAAAGATAAGGGTCTAGTTTTAATCTGTGGCGGCTTGACACCCAGTTTTTCCAACACCATTTATTAAAGAGGCTATCTTTCCTTCACTGAGGATGGTCAGCTCCTTTTTCAAAGATTAGGTAGCTGAGTACATCTGGGTTTGTTTTTGTGTCTTCCAGTCTGTTCCACTGATCCTCAGGCTGTTTCTTTGCCAGTACCATGCTGTTTTTATCACAGTGGCTTTGTAGTATAGTTTCAAATTGGGAATTGTTATACCCGGTGCCATGTGTCTGTTGCCTAAAATGGCTTTTGCTATTCTAGATCTCTTATGGTTCCAAATGAATTTTTGGATTCTTTTTTCTAGTTCTGTGAAATATAGTGTTGGACTTTCAATTGGCATTGCATTGAATGTATATAGAAGTTTTGGTAGTATGGCCATTTTCACTATGTTGATTCTTCCTACCCAGAAGCAGGGGATATCTTTCCATTTTTTTTATATCCTCTTCAATTTCTTTTTTCAGAGTTCTGTAGTTTTCAGTGTAGAGATCTTTTGCTTCTTTTGTTAGATTGATCCCTAGATACTTCATTTTTTTGGATGCTATTGTAAAAGGAATTTTTTTCCCTTATTCCTTTCTCAGTGAGTCTCTTATTTGTGTATAAGAAGGCTATTGAGTTTTGGGTGTTCACCTTGTATCCAGACACTCTACTGAATCTGTCAAGTCTAGAAGTCTTTTGTTTGGAGTCTTTTGGGTCTTCAATGTAGAGCATCATATCATCAGCAAATAATGGCAGTTTAACTTCTTCCTTTCCCATCTTTATTGCTTTAATTTCTTTCTCTTGTCTAATTGCTGTGGCTAATGTTTCCAGAACTATATGGAAGAGGAGTGGTGATAATGGGCATCCTTGTCTTGTTCCTGATTTTAACATGAAGGTTTTCAGTTTTTGACCATTTAATATGATGTTGGCTGTTGGTTTTTCATAGATAGCTTTATTAAGTTGAGGTATAGACCATCTATTCCAATTTTTTGCAGTATTTTTATCATGAATGGGTGTTGAATTTTATCAAATGCTTTTTCTGCATCTATTGAGAGGATCATATGGTTTTTGTCCTTGACTTTGTTAATAGTTAATATAATATATTACATTTATTGACTTTCGTGTATTGAACCACCCTTGCATCTCTGGAATAAATCCGACTTGATCAGGATGGATGATCTTCCTGGTAATCCTCTGTATTCTGTTTGCTAGTATCTTATTAAGGATTTTTGCATCTATATTCATTAAGGAGATTGGTCTGTAGTTCTCCTTTTTAAGTTGTATCTTTCCCTGGTTTGGGAATCAAAGTGATACTTGCTTCCAGGAATGAATTTGGAAGTTGGCGCACACCTTCAATCCCAGAACTCTGGGAGGCTGAGGCAGGAGGATTATGAGTTTAAGGAGGAGACTCTTTCTGAAATCAGTAAATAAAACGGCTGTCGATGCAGCTCAGTGTGAAGGCCCTGGGTTCAGTCACCAGTACTAAAAGAAAAATAAAAATAAAATAGCCTTGTTAAAAGAAATTGTTTGCAGTAACAATGTTGTAGGCCTTCTAAAATGCAGGGTTTTTTTTTTTAATAAAATGCATGTGTAAACTTAATACTATGTGTATTTAGAATGACCTGTAGTGATACAAAGATTTTACAGTCTCACAGACATTAAAATGTGTAAGATAACAGCAGGCTAGTGTGTTGCATACTTAGATTCCATTTCCTGCTGTATTTTATTATTCACTCATCTTTATTATACAGGGTAAAATTCCCAAGAGGTACAGGCAGAAATTTGCTAGAGTGACTCAAGAGAAGTTTTGAGGCAAAAAGATAAGTGTTTATAGCACATGTCTGTTTTCAGTTACATCTACTGTTCCAAAGAGTTAATGAAATTATACTTTATACTGCATTCTTAAGAATGAAGTTCTTGTTGGTGGTGTACCTCAGCAGTGCAGCACCTACCTGACAAACACAAGGCTCCAAGTTCGATTCCCAGTATCAAAAAAAATAATAACAAGAATGAGGTTAAGTCGTTCTTTCCAATACCTGTGCAAGTAATTTATTCTCCCTATGCCTCAGTTTCATCTGCTGTAACATGGAAACAATAGCACCTATCTCAAAGAAGTATTGTGAGGATCAAATGAATTAGTACATTTTCCACGCGCAAATTGGTGTCTCAAATATTGCAGTCATTCATGGTAGCCAATTGTAATGTGGATGGTGGTGATTGATTAAAATACATTTATAATTGGGGAATTTTTTTTGCCCTAGGAAAATTTCTCAAAGAGATTAATAAACAGTTGGGAGCACTTGAGGATATTATGTGATAAACTGAGTATAGTAATCCCTGCCTTTAAAACGAACGCAAATCTGTTATACTTTATTCCTGTATAAAGCAATCTAGTTATAGTAGATGGATTTTGTTTTATTTTTTTTTCTTTCAATATTTTAAATGATCACAGGGTTATTTCAGTGAAGAGCAAGTAAGAGCCTTGAACAATTACAGACAAATGCTGAATGATAAGAGACAAGCACAGATCCAGTCGGAGTTCAGGAGGGCCATGAAATCTGTGGAGCAGGGGGAGCAAGGTCTATCGAGGGATGTCACAACTGTGTGGAAGTTGCGTGTTGTAAGCTATGAGAGAAAAGAAAATTATTCAGGTTTGTATGCAAATTTCTTATTTTATCAGTTTTGATTTTTGAAATGTTACTTTTATTTTTGCTTTTGTTTGTTTTGGTACCATGGATCAAACTCAGGTCCTTGTGCAGGCGCTGGAACCACTGAGCTAAATCCCCGGCCTGAAATGTTACTTTTAAAAGATTGCAATTGCTAGATAAAGTATGTATATCAGAAGAACAAAATGGGTTACCAGTGCTCACAGTCATAATAGAATCCTTTGATTTTTATTGTTACTTGTGCTTATTTTTAAGAAAGAATTTTAATGATTACAAACTCTTCCCTTCCCATTGTGTTATTTTCATCTTTCTCTAAACAGTTATATTGTGTATTTGGAGACCATCATCAGATTTATATTCCCTCTTAACCGAGGGAAAAAGATACAGAATCTATCATCTTGCAGCATCAAAATCTAAAAGTAGATCTGGAAGAGTGAACATACAGTTAACAGCAACAAAAAAAACTCAATACCAACAACTAACGGTACAAATCTTTTATTATAATTTTTAAATTTTAATAAATGAATATTACTTCATAGACTTTCTATATACTTTTTTTTCTCTATAGGCTTCAAATGAAATCTTATTCCAGATTTATCACCCAAGGGAGGCACTTTGCTTCAACAGACTATTAGATCCAGAGTTTCAGCCATCTTGTTCTGAAGTGGACCTCATTGGATTTGTAGTTTCTGTTGTGAGAAAAATAGGTAACTCACAGTGTATTTAACTGTAGCTTTTTATTGATTCTTTTGCAACACATTCTTTTAAATTGTCTCCCTAATAATTAGTTGGAGCTACCAGTTGGCAAATTTACTAACTAGTGATGTTAAAATTGGCCTATTTTGACCTCTGATTCCTTTTTTTTTTTTTTTTTTTTTTTTTTT